AAATAAATAAATAAAATCTTAAAAAAAAAAAAAAGAAAGCAGTATATGTACTTTATTGGACAAGTGTGCTCAAGTCAATGCAGACAGCACAAATGGCACGAACTAAATGTGGTATTGTGAATATGTTTTGAAGACAGATCTGGTTTCAATCCTGGGTGTTATTTACTAGTTGTATGTGAGTAAATTAGAACAATTTATTTTGGGAGGCAAATCACCCCAACTCTCTTAAGCCTTGGTTTTCTTATCTATAAAGTAGGGTGGTTGTGAAGATTACAGAAAATGAAATCCTCAAAGCACTGAGTACCATGTCTGGGGATCAGAAGACTTGAGATCAAGTCTCAATAACTCTCAATAAGTGGTGACTAGATTACACAACCTTTAATGCATATTTATGACAATAACCTACATGCAGTATTTTCTATTCTTATATATTTTAATTTTTTTATTTAGATAGATTGAGAGTGATTGGAACATTAATTCTTCTATACTGTAAAACCTAAATTTTTTTAAAATTTAAATTCAATTAATTAACATATAATGTGTTATTGGTTTCAGAGGTAGACATCAGTGATTCATCAGTCTTATATAATACCCTGTGGTCATTACATCACGTGCCCTTCTTAATGTCCATCACCCAATTACCCCATCCCTCCATCCCCCTCCCCTCCAGCAACCCTCAGTTTGTTTCCTATGATTAAGAGTCTCTTATGGTTTGTCTCCCTCTCTGGGTTCATCTTGTTTTATTTTTTCCTCTCTTCCCCTATGATCCTCTGTTTCTTAAATTCCACAGTATTTTAATTGTGAGTATTGCATGTTCTTGCTTTGCTTTATCCTCCCTATACCAAAAAGGATTTGAGATGACCTGAACACAATAGGATATACATGAGATCCGAGACCCACCTTTTCTCTCTCTAGATTTCCTCTATGTAGTCTCACTGTGTCCCCATAATGCCCATGTGTAAGCAAGAAAACACAAGAAGGAAAGTACCGTCTTCTTGATACAAATACAAGAGAAATGTTTAAGTCAGCAAGCTACTGAAAAAGAACTTTGAAATTGAAAACAATAAAAAATTCCAAAGGCAATATGAACCGTCAGAGCCATTAGAAGAGGCCAAATTTCAATGTCTACAGTAGCAGTGCATTCTGTTCTTAGCACAAAATAGCAAGTCAGGCATATTGGGGAAGCTATTAAAGTTGGTTAGCAGAATGAAACAGGGAAAAGAACAGCCAGTTCTTATTGTCTGCAAAACAACTGGGTACCAATCTCAACCTCAAATCACTGCTAGGAGTATCTACCGAAACTCTCAATCAATGTACAACCAACCAACTAATCAGCTACAGTCTCTTTAAAATATATAAGGGAAACAAGCATCTTGTTAAGCATTTCCACATAGCTGTCTACTTTATTCCTGTAAAAACAATAACAACGGCAGCAGCATAATAGTAACTAATAATTGGTTGATAATTGGCAATTACTAAAAATTAGTAATAATAGTAAAAGTAGCAGTTGCATATTTGTATTATTTGAGGAAAGGAGCTTCAGAAAGTCAAGTGACATGCCCCAATGCATATCTATTGATAGTGGCAGAGGTAGCTGGACCAGAAATTTTTCCAGGGAAATGAAGTCTAACCCCAAATTTTATTTCTAAATGATATGCCACCACTCCTCTCCTCCAAAGCAAGGTGTTGGGAATGCATGTTGTACTGTATTAAACATTTAGAGATGATCACACAACCTTTACCTTGTTAGACACATGAATCTCAGTGTCTCAGGGACTGACATTGAGCATTACTTGATTATTAAAATGTAAGTTGTCCTTGTGGGTAGATGTGTACGAAGAACCTCAGCGCATTGTCTTTATAGGCACAGTGCGTTGTCAGAATGCCAAGTCCTGGAAGAATCAGAGCCAAATTCAAGAAACCATGTCTAGTGCTTCAAAACAAGACCAAGCTAACTGTTTGCTGGAGTTCACAATCAGCTTTCTGGGTCACCAATCTGTTCCCCAGCAGCTTGAGTCTGCCAGACCAAATGCTTGATCCTACTACGGTTTCTGACTCTCCTCAAGTTTCAGCAAAGGAATCCTTGGAGCTTCTCTCTCCCCATTCCATGCCCAGCTGAGGACCCTTTGCCCTTTGGATCACTAAAGTGGATCCAAGTCATAATAAACATTCTGCCCTGGGGCTCTCTTCCCGCTTCTCATAGCATTTGAGATTTGAGAGTCCTTCAGGGATAGAATGTTCCCAGGGGCAGCTCTAAAATTTCTACGTAAGGGCAACAATATGGCTGAAAGAAGGGAGAGCGAGAGCTTACCTCTGTGTTCCCACACTTTACAAAGCAAAGAGAAAACTTCATCATCCATACTCTAAACTGGGGAGGGCTGTTGGATTTCTCCCCCACCCACCACAGGATTCCCCCTTGCAGTCCTCACATTTGTCATATCTTGCTTTTTCACTGTCCACTTCGGGAAGCCAAATGATGCTAGTCATCTTAAAGGAGTGGTGCCCAGTTTTATTTGATTTGCTTTTTCATGACTGATTTGTTCCTTGTCAGAAGCTGATGCCCTGGATACATTTCAAAATTGCATTTCTTCAAGATTCCCATTGTTTCATTTCCCTCCTCGTAATCAACAAGAATTAAACCTAAAAATTATGTTTTGTTGCTATGTGTCTCTAGTTTACTCTTGTTAATAAGACTGTAAAAATTTGAATACAGTCTTTTTTTTTTTTAAGAGAGGGGGTTGGGGGAGGGGCAGAGGGAGAGAGAGAATCTTAATCAAAGCAGGCTCCACTCCCAGCATGGAGCCCAACGTGGGGCTCAATCTCATGACCTTGAGATCATGATCTGAGTCAAAAATCAAGAATCAGTCACTTAACTGACTGAGCCACCCAGGTGCCCCCTGGATACCATCTTTTATAGTCTTTTCTTCATTTGAAGAGTTCTTCCAGGACAACTTTGAAAATTGAGGTTAAAACAAGATAACAAAATTCCCAAAGTAACATGTCATAAAAATATAATTCTGTTAAATGAAATACTTATATTTCCTTTTTATTTGTTTGTTTTTTTCAAAGAATTCCTCTAATTTCTCGAATATCCATATCCCCGGATTCAGCTATGTCCAAACCAAAAACAAAGGCCATACTGAAGGGCAAGATCGATTACTCACTGGAAACTGTTGAGGCAAACTTTGAGGCAGATGAGAAGTTGCTAATGGACACCTGGCAGCAGGCTTCTTTAGCAATATCTCACATGGTAAGCAGTGCTTGTTACTACATTTTCACTAAGTACCAACATTGGTAATATGCTATGAGTAGAAAATTTACACAATGTTGTATAAATTTATACCTTCAGGAATTGTTTTGTTTTGTTTTGTTTTCTGAAAGAAATAAGAAATGAAACAATTCAGTCAGCAAGTAGATGAGCTTAAGAATGGAGTAAACCAACATGTAGATTATTTTTTGTGCTGGGCCAAGTTTCCAAGTGCAGGAGCCAAAAGGTCCGTCGGGAAAAGTCAATTACGTGGGTCAAGTATAATGCAATAAGGGAGGGATGAGGCTGTGGCCAAGTGGAAATCATACTCCTAAAGAGGTATGTGCTACATCACCCTGACCAAATTTACCATTTAAGAATGAGGCCCAGTATGGCCAGATTTTACAATTTTCCAAGAAAAGCCAGAAATTCAGATTTATATGTGAAACCTACTGATTTTAGCATGTTAGAAATGAAATCAAATTTGTAAAACTTTACAGAGCCAAGAAAAACACGCATCTGGCCTTGTAGGCCTCTAGTTTGCATAAGTCACCTGTGGGGTAAGTACTCTCCTCTTTACCATGGAAAACGAGGATCCAGAAATGTTAAAAATTTTTACCAAGGTCACTTAGCAGGTTAAGTGTCAAAAAGGATATTTGAACCTAGGACTATATGAGTTCTAAGTTCATGTCCTTTTCAGCTTCACTGGGAAGCGAAGGGACGGTGATAGTCTCTGTCTCTAAGGGGCCTGCACCAAATCAAAAGAGAAGGGAAGAGCACACAGATAACTCTAATGTAAGGAGAAACTCCCCCCTGTACAGAAGGTTCACGCAGAGTTTAGCTTGGATGACCACTGTTCCCTCACCTTCCAGTCCTGTGTACCCAAGGTGGTTCTCTTTTCATTCTGTGCCAGGCCTTCTTTGAGTTTCCCTGAAATATCCCATCCAAACAGGAAGCAGTGTCCACCTTCCCAAAGACCTTATGGAAGAGGCGGAAGAGGAGCTTACCGCAGGGTCTTAGAGCAAGGAGGAGACACTTCTGACTGGGTGTTTTCCAAATCCCTTCCTGGCCACTCTGCCTCCAGGGTTCTTTTCTCTGGTTCATCCCACAGCAACCTCAGTGTTCTGTTCTCCTTTTCTGTTCTCCCTCTCTTCCTGTTGCTCTTCCTTCTTTTGTTTCTCCCTCTTAAAAGTGACTGTAGATTTTTTTTTTTAAGATTTTATTTATTTATTTGAGAGAGAGAGAGAAGCACGTACATAGGGAGAGTGAGAGGGAGAAGTGGACTCCCCGCTGAGTGGAGGGCCCAATGCGGAGCTTGATCCCAGGACCCTGAGATCATGACCTGAGCTGAAGGCAAACGCTTAACTGACTGAGCCACCCAGGCGCCCCTCTCAAAAGTGTTTGTAGATGCCTTTCATTGTCTTGCTTCTACTATAAAAAATGTTAGTGTGGATTTTGACACATCTAAGAAAAGTGCATGAAGTATAACTGCAGGGCTCGATGAACACACCTAAAGTTACTGCCGAAACCAGCACACGGGAGAAATGGGAAAGGTCCGGAACCTACCAAGTCCTTGCCCCTTCCCAGTCCCAACCCCTGCATCCCTACAACACGGACCTTCCGCCTGCCTTTTGACTAACCATTGCCTTGATATTCATAAGTTTTATCACCCAAGTCTATAGCTCTAAACAGTATAGTTAACTTTGCTTGCTTTTGAACTTTAAATACATGGACTCATACCTTTTGTCTCTTTGTGTTTTCTTTTGCTCAACATTACATATGAGATTCATTATATGTTGTCGAGTGGAGCTGTAATCTGTCCCTTTTTGTTGTTGTATATTGTTTCATTATGTAAATCTATCACAGTTTACTGAACTATTCTGCTACTAATACACATTTGGGCTTCCAGTTTGTGCCATTATGGATACCCTCGCTGTGAACATTCTTGTACTTGTCCACGGCTGCACTTCTGCACACACAGCCATTGGATATATGGCTAAGAGTGGTAGCTATCTTCAATGTCAGTTGATGATACTATACATAATACTTCAGTTTGCATAAGTAATACCAGATTCTTTCCCCATTCACTGCAGTATCATCTTTGTCCTAAAGTAGGTGACCACATATCATAAATTAAGTCTGTTGCATTGCTCTATTTTTCCATCTTGTACCAAAACTGCATAATGTCATATCACTTATTTGTTATCTAGCTGAGCAAATCTTCCCATCTTGTCATCTGTCCAGAGCATTTTGGCTCTTGGCTCTTTGCCTTTCCATATAAATTTTCAAATCAGCTTGTCAAAATTTACAAAAGTGTTGGCCATAGACTTTTTTTAGATGATATTTATCAGAATATGGAAGTTTCTTTTCATTTCTAGCTTACCATGAGGGTTTTTCATTAATATATTAACAAATGTTTTTCTGCATCTATTGAGATTGTCATATAATTTTTTTTCTGTTTTCTATCAATGTGAAATATCATATTGGTCCATTTTCTAATATTAAACTTACATCATATCCCTGAAATAAGTCCAACATTATAATTAAACATCATCCTTCTTACATATTGCTGGCTTTGTTTTGCTAATAATTTGCTTAGGCTTTTTGAATCTCTGTTCATGAGTGAGAAAATCCTAAAATTTGTTTTTCTCATACTGTCCTTGTCAACTTTTAACATCCACGTAATACTAGACTCATAAATCAAGTCAGGATATGTTTCTTCTCTTTCTATTTAGAAGAGTTTGAGGAAGTTGGAATTATTTCCTCTTGAAGTGTTTAGTAGCATTCACCAAGAAGCCATCTGGGCCTGGTGAACTAAACCTTTTCTTACTAGGAGGTAGTCTTCTTTATTTATAATGTTCTTTTGGAAATGATACTTTTGAATATTGTTTACATGTTATATCCTTGTTCATCTTCTTATTTTTTAGCCTTTCTATATCTTTTCTTGCTTGCTTTCTCCCCCCCTACTTACTTTTAGAAGTAGTGCATTCTATTACTGTTCTCTTAGTGGTTACCGTAGGAATTACACCATAAATTGTGAACCTATTGAAGTCTAAATATTATTTAGTCAGTAATTCATGTGTTATTCCTAGAGTAACCACTAAGTGAATTAGTGTGTGTTACTTCCAAACTAATATAGGGAAAATGAATAAATTTAAAATATTAAGTCCAAAATAAGAAAAGAGGACAGAACAAGATTTAGGACAAACAATATAAGTCGAAAGCACATAATAAGAGAGTAGATGTATACCCCAAAAATACTGATAGCTACTTTATAAGGGCAAAATGATCCAGATAAAGAAAAGGGATTGATTTATTTTGTTAAAAAAGCATATGATGCCTATAAGAACACAGAAATGATCTTCTGTTATCGACCAGAGAGGAGAATAAGGTAGTGTGATGACCTCCAGTAGCCACTGTGGAATCCTAAACCCTTGGCCCAGAGGCTCAGTGCTCCCCATCATGCTGGTACCAACTCATCAAACCTTCTCATAAAGCAACTAGATATTGCTTCCTACATATTCCCTCGGCATTAACAATTTCCATGCCTCAGCTAATGTCATCTTTCTCTCCTAAAATACGTTCCTCCTTCCTTCTATTTGATTAAACTATATACTTCGTATAAGTCTTCAGAGCCAGTTCCTGCTTTGATTCCTGACTACTTGGTTACCTGCTTGAAGCCCTTGCCTTCTCTGATCATGTGCTCTTCCAATCCCTGCAGCAGTATTATCTCCCCAAGCATCCTAGGTGATTGTAATGTTTATCTCATTCTTTTCCTAAACATTTCACTGGATTCTAAGACTTTTTATACACCCTACACCTAGCATCATGCCCACATCTAATATGATGCTAAGCGCTCAGCACAGTCTGACGTGGGACTGCTGCCCGACCAATGACGCTGATGTTACTACTGATGATGATGGCAATGACCGTGGTGATCACTGAAAGATTACAACTACCAAGCACCAGAGAGTGGGAAACCAGAGCTAGGAGTTTGGGGGGGGAGAAGGGAATTATTATTCTTATTGAGCTACATAAAGTAATTTGCAAGTTTTACAAATCCCATTAGAATTGCCGAGGGGAGATGACATTGTAGAATATTACATTATTAGAAAGAGCAGCGTACAGCACAAAGAGCACTGGCTACCCCTTTTGGTTAAATTGTGTGATTTTATGGAAATGACTTAGCCTCTTCCAGTCTTCAATTCCTTATCTGTAACATGGGAGACATTCCACATACCTTTCCTCTAGTGAACGGTTGAAAGATCCAGTGAAATAATGTATACCAAAGAAATTATAATAGATAATGTAATATATATAATATTATATATAGTTATATATAATATATAATATAATAGATAATGGAAATTGTAACTATAATAGATGATGACATTAAAAAAATTTATTCACAATTGTACTATTTTCCTTGTGGAATTTAAAAACCACATAGAGAGTCACCTGGGTGGCTCAGTCGGTTAAGCATCTGCCTTCGTCTTGGGTCATGATCCCAGGATCCTGGGATCCAGCCCCATATCAGGCTCCCTGCTCAGCGGGGAGCCTGCTTCTCCCTCTCTCCCTTGCTTGTTCTCTCTCTCTCTCTCAAATAAATAAATAAAATCTTTAAAAAATAAAATAAAAACCACATAGGAAGCAAGGGAGAAAAGTTAAGTACTAATCTAATTAGTATTCCTAATAATTATATTTGAGTCCTGCTTTTATGTCTCTAATAGACTTTTATGACCTTGATGTCACATGACCTTAAGGGAATTTTAAGTTTCCAGTGAGACAGACATGCTTGGGCAAACCATTGCAGGGAAAAACAGTGCAAGCGGGGATTAGAGCAACTGAAAGGAGAGTGCTTTAACATGGGCTTTTTTCTACACAGCAGTCTCACCAACAGCTACCCGTTTAGTGTGTGATGTTAATTTTTAGAAAAACTTTCCTCTAATTAGCAGGTATGCAATGATTTCAAAGAAACAAGTCATAGTTAACGCCCACAATGTCAAGACATTATTTCTAGAGTTTCTTCAGGCTTACAGGTAGATCGCTCAATGTATTGCGAATAATGTTAATTTTTGAAAGAGACACAGACGTCTCTGAGGGAAGTGGACCAAAAATATGCAGATGATGATTATCATCATCACCACCACCACCACTACCAGAAAGTTGTTTATAAAGGAGAAAAATCCAATTTTAAAGGAAATTGCTAACTTACGGTGCTTTGCAAAAACAGATTCAAAAATGAATTGCTTGCAATTTAGGCGGGGGGGGGGGATGTTAACAAGTCTGTTTTCAGCTTTACCAAGAATTTTAAAGTACAGTAGATATCATGAAATCCATTTTTATGGCTTAAGGGCATCTGATTAAAACCACATACATATGCTCACACAAAACTGGCTTGTTCTCTGAAACCTTTTCTGTATTTCTCCAAAGTTCCACTGATCTTAAAGAAACTGTGGGTATGTTCCGTGGAATATGATTATTTTAAAAGAAATTCCATCTATTAATAATCATTTCCTGGTTCCATAGTTCCATAGTCCCCTGTGAGCATAGCAGGTGCTAAAAGCCGCTTGAAGCCCATTTGGAGGGTGGAACACTAAACATTCATAGAACAGTCGGGGACAGTTACATGCTGAGCCCCGGGGTATGAAGTTTGCAAGAATTTGGGGAGAGCAGGAATTGGCTGGTGTATCCCACCAAGACTAAGCATCTTTCAGGGGAGAGCTTGTGCCTTATTCATCTTTCTATTCACCTCCATCCAACTTCCTCTTTCTCCTCCGAGCCCCTCACCCAGTCCTCCCCAGAAATAACATCAGGCTTGGACACAGTAAGCACTTCAATAAATGAATTCTCATGACCCCCATTTCTTTTTTTTTTTTTTTAAAGATTTTATTTATTTATTTGAGAGAGAGAGAATGAGAGACAGAGAGCATGAGAAGGAGGAAGGTCAGAGGGAGAAGCAGACTCCCCGCTGAGCAGGGAGCCCGATGCGGGACTCGATTCCGGGACTCCAGGATCATGACCTGAGCCGAAGGCAGTCGCTTAACCAACTGAGCCACCCAGGCGCCCCCATGACCCCCATTTCTTTATCAGTTGCTTTATTGAGATTTTAAGGGATTCGACCAGATGTTGCTCCTCCCTCCTCAGGGTGTGCAGGTTTTCTTTCTCCCTTTTGGGAGTCTTTTCTAAGCTCTCATTTCTTGGGGCTACACCCCTAAGTGCTCTTCGCCTTTCCTGGGACAGTTGGACTTATTTTGGAAGGTCTGGCCTTTGAAACTGCAGGCATGGCCCCAGTGGCACGAGAACTCAAGACAAGGTTTCCCTGCTGCCTGAAGCACAGAGTCCTGGAGGAAGGATGGAGGGGTCCCAACCGCACCCCACCCTCCTGCTTCCTCAGCCATGATGGGGTGGCCCCGCAACTCATCTCTCACACCAGGACATTCCATTTGTGTGAGTGAAAGGAGGGGGTTGATGAGATGGCGGGAAGCTGCAAGTCCCCTGAGTAGAGGAAGCTGACAAGATGAGCTTAGTCCGTGGGACAGGTCATCCTCATGAACACTGCACCTTCTGGGATGATGTCTAGTGTTAGAGGAGAATGGAAGCCCAAAATCCAAGTGTCCATGAGCCCAAATAATACAGGGCATGCATTCCCAAAACTTGGTTGGGGGACATGAGAAATTCTTACCCATTTTATGTATAAAACACAGTTATAGGTAAAATACATAGATACACTTTTGCAGTATTAAAATTTCATGGAGCAGACTATTAGAAAAACTGTCTTTAAAACTCTGTAGGGGATGTCAATAATAATAATGATGATGATGATGATGATAAAAGGTGAGAAACATTGGTATAGGGGAATGCCCTGGAAGAATAGTGGGTGTTAAATCCATAGAGTCTGAGATTTAAAAGAAAGCTTTTAAAAAGCATCCTCATGGAGCTGCTGCAGTGTGGAGGTGGCAATGAGCAAATGTAAGGCTGCATTGCATGCAGGGCTGGAGAAAGTGAGCAACCTACATACAGAAGGGGAAGCCACTTCTTGAGGCCTGGGCCAGGTTTCCAAGTCAGTAAAACATTGAAGTATGTTTTCTGTAAAGACTGAGTACATGGCATGGTTGTTTACAGGAGAATGAGGCTTCAGTTGATCTGGGTGATGACTAAATCCACATAGCTATCATATTTCATAAGTGTTGCATTCATCGAAATCTTGCTCGTATCCAACCAGGTTGCTGCTGAAATTCATCAGAGGCTCATGGAAGAAGAGAAGGAAAACCTGCCAGCAGACACAAAAGAGAAATCTCCTCAGATGGGTACAAATAAAAAAGTCATAAAGGAACCACCCAAGAAGAAAAAGGCAGACAAAAAAGCAAAAGGTATTCATGGTTTTGGCATCCAAAACTGTGGATGCTTCAACTTTCCTTGGTAGAGAACACAAACATCTAAGCAGGCACGTTAAAGCTACTGTTGGTTTGGTTTTGTTCCAAGACCCAGGCTCCGGTGGCGTTAGCTGACTAATCATACTGGGTACCAGTCTCACCTAACTTGTTTATCCAAACGTATCCAAGGTAAAATAAACCTCAACAACAGTTTGGAACATGCTAGAAGAACTCCCAATAGCACTATGTAATCTGAAAATTGTGCACATAGGGGCTGCAGTAACTGAGAGGAGGTTGGGTGAAAAGCGATTATAAGTATGTAAGTTTCAGGTTGAATTCAGGTTTTTGGTTTAATTCAAGCAAGTTCCTCTCTCCTGGAGGCCTCCTGCCTAATCTCTGCCTCAGAGACATGAGGGGAAAGCAAGGGCGAGAGAAGACTCAGGCTGGGAGAGACCTCCTGTCAGCCTTGGGGATAAACTCTGGCATAAACATTATCCCCTCCCTTTGAATGTCTCCACTTGTACATATTTAAGGTGAGTTGAGGCAAGAGAGGAAGAGACAGAAGTCACCTCACTAGTCAGTTGCTCATGACACGTTTGTTAGGCACCTGCTAGAAGGACACCATGATGGGTGTGAGGGACACAATGATGAACTTCAAGAACCAGAACAAAAACACAGTCCCTGCCCTGATGGGAACTCTAGTCTAGCAGCAGAGACTGATGTTTGACCCATCCTTGTTCTTTAGTGGGGGAGGTGCAGGCAACCTTGAGAGTGAGGTCACCTCAGTCCTTCTGAGAGGTAAGGAAACACCTCCCAGCTGGAGTACATTTAAGCAACCCTGAGCAGGAGTAAGAGGGGAAGCTAAGGATGTGGGCAAGTGGGTGGTGATGGGTGGCACTCGAATCAAAGAGAAGAATAGCACCACAAGAAAAAACACACCACTTAGTCCATCTCAGATGGTAAAAATGAAAGAAATAAGCAGCATTTGAAGGACATACTTCAATCTACTTTTAATGGATAAATGGTTGAGTCCATTCCCTTAATTTTACAGATGATAAAACAGAAATCCAATGAGATTAAGCTCCCTTTCCAGCTATAATTCATACATCCACCTACTATTGCAATTACATTTTATTACAGTTTCTTTATTTACAATTATGTCTTCTTCACATGACTTGAACGCTTGCGGTCAGACCTTCAAGACAGCTTTATTGCACTAAGTAGAATTATGTGAACAGAGCCTGCAGTTAGAATCACACTGCCATTTCTCAAGGGTAGATTGTCAGAAAAATGCTGACAAATTCTTATTTTCTAAATCTCTTATGTAATCATTGAAGTACTTGCAGTTAAGTACTACTGAAAAGATTCAGTAGATTGCAGATTCTTGACAATGAGCCACATTTCAGCCATATCTTCTGGATGTTGGTCCCCTGCTCTTTTCTTCATGAGGATGTGGGATACACTTGCCTAACACTAGTACCTCTGATGGAACAGTTCTTCTGCAGCTGGCTAATGGCATCCGTGGTGTGTTGCGGTTTGCTAATTCCCGTCCCCAAACTCTGCATTGCACCTTCCTTGGAGTCTATAACCATGTCTGCCCTCGCTGCACACCTCATTTTCCCATGATGCTACACAAAAGGGGCATTTTTGTATGTGTATAGCCTAGATAACACATGGAGAATTCTCAAGGAAAGATCCATATTTCCCACTCACAGTCAGGACTCAGGTTGGTCCTTTCCAAATCGCAAGAGTTTTGCTACAGACCCGCATGTCTCGCTTGGTCCTCATTTTGTCCAAGGAGCTGTGTGTCCCCTTGCATGCCCGCTCGCTCCTCCCCGAGTTCCACTGTGCTTCCAGGCAAATCACCGCCAATGGCAGAGGCCGCGCCTGTGACAGGGACAGCAGAGGAGATTGCCCAAATGGAAAAGAGAAAAGAACTGATGCTCAGAATCAAGGAAGAACACCTTGCTGCCCTGCAATTTGAAGGTAGCATTTGGGAAGAACCGAGATGATTCTTTTCAGTGGAAAACAGTCCAGTAGGCAAACAGCCTGTGACTGGCTCAAGTTGTGTCTAGGAGAACACAAAGCAAAATGATTGAAAAGTACAGCATTTAGTTGGTTGTTTTCATAGGACCACATGAGGGCTAGATTCAGCTGTTCTATAACTGTCTGCCGGGATCTCAAAAAGAGACAAAGAAAATTTGGGAAGGGGTTAGGAGAACACCAGCAATAATTAATCTCAGAGAATAGACACAGAAAGAATATGTTAGAGTCTGTGTGATTTTTACAAGTTGAAAGAAGGCTTAAGGCCGTGTACGTAGGTGGTTTTATATGTTAAGAATAATTTAGGCCTCTCATTAGGAAAATAAATCCTAACTGAGGTTAACAGGCCCTGAAAGTGAGTTCTTGGGAACAGAGACCATAGAAGAGGCAGTCATGGATCGATAATGCTCAAGAGCCTCCTTTTCTATAGGTAGCAATGATTTTATAAGATATATTCTCCTGGCCCTTCCACTTGTCTTATAATGCAACTCAAAATGGACTTTGAAAAAAAAATTGGGAAAATGAACAAATTAGGCCAGTGGCAGTGGAATAAGCAAAGAAGAAACATGGAAAAACTATTTCAGAAGTAAAATCCACAGACCTTAGTGTGTGCCATGGGCAGCAATAGGCCCTGGGATACAGAGGATCTACCCTACTTTTACCAGTGCTAAGAAAATACAATGGCATTGCCATCCCGAGATTCTAAAGTAGGGAGATCATCAAGAGACTTTGTACCTTCCCCTTTTTATTTATTTGTGTTTTCCCACTCCAATTTATCAAAGAATATATTACTATAAAGTGCAATAAATGTAAAGCTCAGTTTATAATACTTTTGGCTTACATAAATTGCCAAATGACCCTACCATGCATTACACTTTTTTTCTCAGTAACATAGATCAGGTATTACCTATACTCATAAATTAAATGTCCACCTACATCTTCACAAACTGAAGCATGATTGGTTTAAAATTGAATTCAGTAGGTTAGAAAATGCATGTATATATAATCCTTCATTTTCTTCTTAAATAGAGATAGCCACACAGTTCCGGCTTGAACTGATAAAGACAAAAGCATTGGCTTTTCTTGAAGATTTATTAACAAAGGTGGTCGATGTATATAAACTCTTGGAAAAGTGGCTTGGTGAGAGGTACTTGAATGAAATGGCCAGGTAATGTACTGCATGGCTTTTCCAAATGTATTTTTTAATTCCTGGTGGCCAAAATTGGCAGATTTTTAGGCATTTACAAATAGAAATTTTGACCTTTTAGGGAATCACAAATGCATTTGTATGGGGTCTTCTCAAACAATAAGTCATGTATCAAACTGTCCTGTTGCAATGTCCAGTTTTGCATATCATTTCTGAGTTTGGTTTTTACCCTGCTCAATGAGGACCTTAGTTTACAAGGTATGATTATAGGTAATTTTTAAATATTTTTCAGAAGATAATGTTTCATATCTTTCTAACGCCAGACTTCTTTTTAGTCAGGGCTGATTAATGAGAGACTGAGAAGTCAGTCACTGCAATGTTTTACCAGTGAGGCTGATTCCCTTGTAAGGGTAATACCCGGTTCTACTTTGCTCTTGGGTTCCAAAGGTTTTTCAGACTTCTCATCTCTAGTGAGGTGCAGAAAGTCTCATTCTCTTAATTCTCCCCTAAAAAGCAGCTCAGCAAAGCAGAAATAGCCTTCAAGTGAGAGTCAGGAGCCATGATGTTCCAAGAGATGGGGATTCCCTCATCGTCCAAATGAGCAGCCTGCCTAATCACTTGGGGGCCCCCATGGGCTTCATCTAAAAAAGGAAACAAGGCAACCAGGCTACTTCAGAGGATTCTACTAGATCTAGATTCTGTGAACACTACAGTTTGGAATAAACATTTACTGAAAATTTAGAAGTTGCTACCTACATAGAATACAAATGGCGGGTATTCTCAGAAACAACTGCTATCGGAAAGATAGTTGTTATGGTTTGTTTTCTATAATCCTTGTCTCATAATGAAAGTTCTGTTGTAAAATCTTCAGCCTAGTTTTTTTAATACCTGTTGTGCTATATAATAACACACACACACACACACACACACACACACACACACACCCCTCAGCCTGGTAACCTTCCTGCAGTAAGGCTTAACATAATTTTACTGCTGGATAGCCAAGTCTGTTACTCATTACCATCGTAGAGCAGTGATGTTCAGTTCTGTTCTCGGCCTGCCCCTTACAAATGAAAACGTATCTTCTTAATTCATAGAATTCACAGCTCCCATCCATGTGGCCATCAAGGGTAAATGCTTTTTATTTTTATCAGATGTACCCCAATTTCTCAGATTTATATTATGTGTATATATCTGACTCCTGAATAACTTTAACAAGAAGTTAAAACTAGGATTGTTCAGCTATGCTTTCTGTTTTAGTTATTGTAAAAGCTCTCTGGTGATAAAAGGAAAATATAGAGAGAGCTATCAGATCCCTTGGAACTTCAAATCTTGCTTTTCATTCCCCTGGCATTTTTTTAATCTCTTTCATTCCTGAGAAGGGTAGGCTTGGTAACCTCCACTAGGTGGAGCACACCCATTTTGAGATCCTGGTTATGGCTCAGTCTTGGTCTGCAGTGGGAGGCCGTCCTCACTCAAGGCTGCAAACTTAGTTGCTCTCCAGTGCCTTCTCCTCTGCGCCCAGCACACACACACCAGGAGGCATAAACTAATTAGATAATACACGCTTTGTGGGCACTCACCAGTACAGCATGCTGGAGTTGAATTCTAGGGTTGTCTTTTCAAAGAAAGCAACTAATCCTATTTTTAAAATTTTTCAGTATATATTTTATATTATGTTGCTGGGTTACATAAAAGCAGATTAAAAATGGATTTTTCCATCATGTACAATCTTTATTGCAAACTGTAAACACAATCCTTCCTGTAATACAGTAATATTGCATTTATTTGTGTATAAAACTTCTCTGGCTTTTGAAGTGGCCTTTAATTAGGGCCATAACTATAATCCCCTTTATAGGTTAAATCCATGCCCTGTGTGATTTCACATTAATAATCAAAAGGTATGGTGTTATGTGTCACTGGCTCCATGCAAAGATAAGGAAAATCAGGGAGCTTAAATAAGTTCCCAAGGACCCACGGCTATGGAGTGTTCTGGAATGAGAGCTCAGCTTCCAGTGTTCTTTCCACTGCACCTATTACTGCTTATACTACATGATTTAACTAGGAATTATTATTTGTAAAAATAGAAAGCAATTTCAATGGGTTTATATTATTAGAGTCCATTCTGACAATTGTGTCTTAAATAACATCAAACTCCTTGATCTAAATTTAGAGAAAAGCCACTCTTCTAGAAATCCATAATCATATTTGATCAACTTAACAATTTTTCCTGATTCCAAATAAATGTGTCATTCTAACAGTTGTATTTTACAGATTTTTCTGCCATATAACTTTCTTCCGGTGCATACTTAGAATGAAATGTATCTCTTGACACAATTTTTTTTTTAATTTAATTTAATTTTATTATGTTATGTTAGTCACCATACAGTACATCATTAGGTTTTGATGTAGTGTTCCATGATTCATTGTTTTCACATAACACCCAGTGCTCCATGCAATACGTGCCCTCCTTAATACCCATCACTGGGCTAACCCATCCCCCCACCCCCCTCCCCTCTAAAACCCTGTTTGTTTCTCAGTCATCTTACTTACACAGTAAAATATGTTCTAATATTAATAAAACCATCTTTGAAGTCCCTTTTTGTTCAGCTTCATATAAAGATGTGACCATGAGCTCTATAATGAGCATATATCTTATTTCCAATCTACACTTATTTAATTATACTCTGCCTTTTCACAAAGTGGGTTTGAAGAGAATTGGAAATTGTAAACATGCAGATTGAATTGTCTACCTTAGCTGTACAATGTATAGACTCTGTGTAGTAAGCAAACACTGTTAACCCAGTAGTATTTAGTGAAGATAACCTTATTCGTTTTTCCATTTTCAGTGTGGAAAAATTAACCGAGGTGGCTCGCTATCACATTGAAACATCTACAAAAATTCAGAATGAACTTTATTTAAGCCAAGAAGATTTCTTCATTAATGGCGATATGAAAGTCTTTCCAGACCCCCCTCCCCCAGTGCGCCCCCCACCTGTAGAAAAGGAAGAAAATGGCACCCTGACCATTGAACAGCTTGATAGTCTTCGAGATCAGTTCTTAGATACCGCACCTAAAGGTAAGAAAAATAATCATGGTGAAAAGCACAAAAAAGGTTAAGACTAATCAGGGTAGCAGTCACTTACTCATGAGTAAAATCAGCCCCCTGGGACTGCGGGTCGCCAAAACAAGCCCTCACTCTATTCCAGTTTATCACACTTTTGCTTCATACAACATAGATCTGAATGAAACAAACAGGAGGAAAACACTGACTAATCCTTCGGCAGTGTGGTGATCCTCGTTCCTGGTAACTCTCCTCTTCGGCCCGTCCCTGCCCCTGGTCAGAAAGTTGGTAAACTTGAGTCTGACTCTGTCTGGCATTTGAGAGAGACAGCCTCCACACACACGTCCAGTCTAAGGTTTGAATTGAGATGATGAGTTTGTGTTTCTGTCTCCCCCACTAGTCTGTGGAGGGAGACCAGGGAGTAGAGAATTTCCCTTCAATGCTTCACAGACTAAGAATAGAACCAGAGAATCTGTCAACAAAATATTTGCTTAACTGATGAATGTGTTCACATGTATGTGTACATCATATCTTATGCACATGAATTCTTTACTTCCTTCACATGTTATCATTATGGCTCTGTAGCATGTGCACAGGCTTTTTTTTTTTTTTTTAATTCAGTCTCTTTCTACTTCCAGATATTCTTCAATGAATTCCATCAATTGATAGCACAAGTAATTCAGACAGGTCATGTAGGACTATCATCTCATCTCCATTTTATTGGTCTGGACTCTTTGTCACGGAGCAGTTTTTACTATGGTCATAGGTCATCCAGGCCTCTTCAGATTCAAGGCTTTTGCCCCTTCTCACTGAATTAAGTCACCTCTCATAATCAGGTTTATTTTATCTTCCAACATCCATGTATTGGAAAATCATTACTTTCCCCTAGAGAATAGCCAACTGACTTTAGTCTAGCACTAACACAATTCCACTTTCATAGTGATTATATTCATTTGTTTTTTAAAAGTCAAATATTTCTCAAAACCCCCATCAAATCTCATTAGTCAAAAGGGCATTCTTTTACTCTGAGTCTGAACTCCTCTTTGCTAAGCCCAGCGGATGAAACAGGTGTAACCATGGGCCCCTGGGTGACCCCCTACCCTGGCACATGTCAGCTCATCTAATTAGCATGAGTGGTCTCCATCTCCAGTACATGACAACTATAGATGGACACCAACTCTGGTTGGCAGTATTTGGGCAGGAAGGAAACGCGGCCATCAGCAGGTACAAAAAAATGGCAGTTTTATAAAGCCGGCCTGTGAAATCCCTTCCATCTGACAGTCAGGCAAATTCCAATTCCATTCTCTGCCCCACTGTGTGGGTTTCACAAGACCCTCTTATTACATATTTCCTTCTCGAGAGTTGCTTTTGCTCTTCGTTTTATCCACCCTATTTTTTACATATAAAACAAAAAGATACATGAATAAAGATTCTGAATATGAAATATGCTTTGATTTAATTCTACACTAGGGTGATGGGAAGGAAATCATCCAATTAGCAGGTCAAAATTAAAAGCATTTCGGGGCATTTGAGTAGGTGGAAGTGGATTTTGAAAATTATCAAGCACTCATAATCCCTTTGAAAAGGGACCTTTGTATTCATGATGATAACCATAATATGTTCTTGGATCCAAACCAGAGCCTGCATTTCAACTAAAAGTTTAAAAACAACAAATAGCAGCTGTAAGTTGGCATGCGTATGTCTTAGAAGATTAACTCTAGAAACCCTTGGGACTAAAATATGTCAACTGATACATTTATCTGTTTTCTGAATATGGTAGAATGAATGCAACAGCTCTCAAAGTATGGTAGAAAGAGGAAGGAAAGGGGGGAAAGGGGAAGGAGGGAGGGGGAAGGAGGGAGATAATTATATATTTTTTTAAAAAGTAGATGTGAAAGGAAAACCACTTGCCTGGTGGACTTAGAGTGTAATTTGAAAAGACAAGCAAGGAAGAAGAAAATATAAACTTCTATTTAGGTTCTTTCTGGACCAGAGTATGAACTTTCTAAAAGTGCTCAGGAATGCAGAGCAAAAGAGGATCAGTGAGCAATGAGGTCAGTCAGGGAGTTTGGTGGGATAGTATCTCAGAGGAAGTATTTGGAAGAAGAGAGATTTGATGGCAGGGATACAGGGGATATTTCAAGTTGGAGAACAGCCACTGGCCAAGGTGCAGATAAGAGACATGGGTGTGGACGTTCAGGGAAAGGTCAGGAGATAGCTTTGATTCTCCTTCCACAACTGCACGAACTGCAGGCAAACACATGGGGAGGCCTTCTCTGTCTGAGGAACCACCACCATCCACCCAAGCTGGAGAATTAACTCAGATTCAAGAATAACCATGGTAATTACTGCACAATTTATAAGGCTATACAAAACTGTGAGATTTGGGGGTCTTAATGGTTCAAAATGACTTCTGGTCTATGAGCAACCAGTTTAAATTCTTTATTATTAGCTCAGATATGCTATTTGAATACACACACACACATGTGCGTGCACATACACACACACACATATATATATATTGCTTTTTAAGTACATGTAAAACCTTAGCACAGTATCAGGTAGTCTATCAATAAAAGTAATGTTCATTGTTATTATTCTTGCCAATGTTATAAAAGGAAGGCAAAATAATGATCATTCCATTTTCTGCATCCCAGAGTCACAGTTCCATGATGACTTCTTTGAAGTCAGGCTGCAAATGTTGACATTGCGTCTCCCTGAGGAAGTCCAGAAATTACCACTCACTCTTTCTCCCTGACTCCCTTAGCCCCCCAGGGATCCTCTGACTTTAGTCTTTCTTCCTCAGCTCCATGATTGTTGTTCCCTGCCTTAAATGATACACAGCCATCCATCTTTTAAGTGAAGTCTTTTGTCATATTCTTTCCAAGAATTGGAAAATAATCTTTTATGGTACCTTCCACTGTATTTATCTTAGAACTGTAGAATTTTAAAAGACAACCTTAGTTGAAGTGATCAGTTTTGAAAGTATGGAGCAACTGGCTGAAAGTGGCACTTTCTAAATGTGTGATCCTACAGAACTTCTTCCTTGAACTTGAAAATTGCTGTTATTTTTAAGCCAAGAGATATGAGCATTACGGTAAACTATTTCATATATGCCAGTGTAACCTATGGTATCTAAGATGCAATTTTCATGCTTGCTAAAATATGGTAAAATATGATAAACAGATGGATTTTTCTCTAGGAAAGAAGCATACATGTTTGCACATAGTCATATGACTAGGCCCATAGGAAGATGTTTTTAGCAAATTTATAAGGAATGATAATATCATGAAGTTCTTTGGTAACTTTTAATTATGCTACATAAATAAAATTATTGAGTGAAATGGATAATCTTTAAGTAAACCTAGTGACTTTAAATACTTATGAGTAACTAGTATCAGGATATAAACAGATAAAACTAAAGCTTAAGGAGTTTTCTGCTGAATATTAGCTACCCCGCTTTAAAAATAAAAGTCTACATTAAAATAGTTCTTACTAAAGATAATGGAAAATTGAAAATGCATTATATACCATAATGCTTATATTCAACACTCCTCTCCTGGTCAAAACCTGCCACTTGTAATGATTCTAAATCTCCTTTGGTAAAGGTAGTCATGAGAAATAAAATACCGTTTGTTGATGTGATCATTGCAAATATGCCAGAAAAGAAAAATGACCTTATGCATGATGATCATACAAGATCATGCGAAATGCAATGAAACAATTTATCACGCTAGTATTTTTCTTGCCACCCAGCAAAGATCCATACTTGAGAATCTTAGGAGCAGCCAGTAAATCGGCAAGACATTCTTTCATTGACTGTCCCAGGAATCATTCCCATGACAGTACTCCCAGCACAGAGGGAGATTTAGAGAACATCTTCTGAATTATAACAATAGCCAATATTGGCATGGTGTCTGGCTCCATGTGTCAGGCCCCATGCTAGCATTTCCATGTTGATTGACTTCTTACTCATGGCTGGCTGAGAAAGAAGACCCAGCCATGGGTCAGAAGGAATCAGACAGCTCTTTTCAAATCCACCTTTCGTCAAATGATTGTACTATGATCTTGGGAAAGTTACTTAGCCTCTCTCTGTCTCAATTTTCTCATCTGGACAATGGGGTATTTCAATGGAGTTGCTATGAGTATTAAAGTAATTAATTTATGTGAAGTGTTTAGGAAGTGTCTGGCACATAGAATGTGCAATCTAAGTGTAATATAAGCCATTGTCATTTAATTATATAATTGTAGTAATATCATATTATATAATATGTAACATTATACAATAGTAATACAAACTATTCCAATTATTACCCAAAATGTTAGCTCGGTATGCTGAAGGTCACATACCACAACAGGCATCTACAGCATTACCCTGGAACATTTCCGGAAAAAAAAAAAATTATACCACCTGATAGAATTAAACCATAAGGTATGTGGCTCCCCAAGGAACCAAAAACAGTCCAAACAAAAACACTTATTTTGTGTAGTGCATTAAGCTCTTGGTAGGAACATCTTGTCTCTAAACATCAAGTGCCAAGCACATCAGGAAGACAGACTTTTTCCAATGGAAGCAATTTGGAGTCTGTTGAAACTAGAACACTTTAGCAATGTTCCTCAGTCCCCACTTAAACCAAAAGAACTCCTTTACTTTGTAAACCCATCAGTATTCCATGTAATGCCTGTAGAGATTTGGTTCATGGCTATTTTGGCTTCAGCTGAGAGGCTATCCAGAGAGAACAGAGTCCAGCAAATTCTGCATCCTCACTCCTTCTTCAAGAGAGGCAGCATTTAGTTGTTCAAGGCTATGAAATTGTTCTAAAAACTCACAAGAGGCCCCTCCTCTGAACCTCTTTTAGAGACCCTTAGGTTCACTGATTGGTCTCAGAGACAGAAGGCACAAACAGAACTCTTGTCTGTGGTGACTAAGCTAGATCATTCGGCTACATGGTTTTTGCAAGAATTCAAAGGAGGAAGTAGTTATTGCTGCCTATGTGGGTCAGCATAGGGGTTAA